ATACCCTATATAATTTAAAAATCAGCTAGGAAACTAACTTGAAAGTAAAGCATTTTAGCGAAGACAACAAATCAAGAAGACTGGCAACTCTTCCATTTTCTCATACGAACGCTATGAGACAGGTACAATCGCGTCATCTGCGCTCAAAGGTAAATGCTTCGAACGAATTTGATAGCAAAGATTAAATCCTCAAAAGAAAGGTTTGTGTATTTGCTCATTTTTCTATACGTTGCCTTCACTCAAGCGCAGCGCTATTGTATCTGTCGCTTAGATTCTGGCAAAATTGTCAGTCTTCTTGATATTTAGTCACTTGAAGGTGTCACCTGGGTCGAACTAAGATATAATAAATATAGGTCAAAGTCAAAAGTACTTGAAACACGTTTAATTTTAGGTTACAAGCACAAGTGCAGGTACTTAATAAAGCATGGGTTATGATTGGTTAGGTGAATTAGAGATTTCAATTATTTATTAAATTAGACTAATGAGATATTATAATCATCAAACGAACTTGAATAAGAAAATTTAGACAGCCTAATAACGCTAAGTAGATTAACAAAAAGGTAAGGATGCAACTAGCCTTTAAAGCAAGTGGCAACTAGACTTTTCATTTATGGTCTGTTCATTTTTATGGTTGCTTTAAAATATCAATTTGGTATAAGAAAGAACAGCCCATAATGCACCCCTGGGGTAAAATGCCCTCTTATAAAAAAAAAACAACCATAACTTTGACTCAGATGCATCTTTCGGTTAATGGATTGTGTTTGTTTTCAACTGGAGGTTTCACAAATAATTCCTGATCATAAAATCATATACAGGGTGCGTGACGAATTTTTGCAGTAAATTTCAAATAATAATTTCTCATGCTTCTGTATCATGATTTAGATATATTTGGCAGCACTGGGTAGCTTATACTGTTAGGTGTAAGATGTAAACAAACAGTGTTGAGTAAACGTAAAGATGTCGAAACAAGAGAGCAATCGGTCAGCCGTTGTCGCTTTGTTGCGCGCCGGAGTAAGCGTAAAAGAACTAATTCAGTCGGTAAATGTGTCTGAAAGAACAGTGTATAATATAAAAAAGGCTTGGGAAAGTTATAAGATGGAGCACCTGCTCATACTGCTAATAAAACACAGAAATGGCTTACGGAAAATATTTCGGAATTTTGGGAAAAAGAAATTTGGCCCCCAAGCAGTCCCGATATCAATCCGTTGGATTATTTTGTATGGGGCTTCGTCGAACGGGATACCAATAGATCCCCTCACACCACACTTAAGTCGCCTAAAGCTATAATCAAGGCAGTGATAACATCTATGGATCGAAACATTGTAAAACGTGCATGCGGCAGTTTCCGGATGCGTCTAATTACAGTCGTTGAAAGGGAAAGCGATTTTTTTTTATAAAATTAGTTACAATTTCCATATTTTGCGAAAGAAAATAAATCACATAACATTCATTGTTAGAATAACTAAGTGGTGTATTTTTTCTCAAATATGTCATTTACTGCGAAAATTCGTGACGCACCCGGTACATACCTTCTGATTTCTCTAATAAATGGCATTTTGTGCAAAACATGACACAGTTGTTAAAAACACCTACTGTAAAATAAGCTTTTAACAGCATATAGCGCAAAAGAATGGAACGAATTCACTTTGCGTATACCCTTTAGATGTTTTACTTCATGAATCACAGTTTATACTCTATTGAGGCCTTAACACTGATGTAACATGAAGGAATAATCATTTGAATTACCTCATGCCTTTGCATTCCCTACTTGCAGGAGTTATTGATTGTCTATCATGTGGTGCATTTTACCCCAATGTTGTGTTTTGACCATTGTTGTCTTGCGTCTTGCCGCAATGTTGTGGTGCATATTGCACCATGAATCAGGCGTTTTACCCCACTATCAATTTGAAACGGATTCATAAAATACCTTGAAAATCATGAAAAATCATCGTTTTGTCGTTCGAAATCACTCGATTTTCGTAGAAAACATGGTAATGAACAATACACTGGTACTTTCTCCTTGATTTTAGTTTCCATACGCCAACAATTGACGGTTTTTTAAACGATGCGTTTTGCACCATCCTACCCTATATGTGAAAGGATGAATCAGTGTGAGATGGATTTTCTGTTTCTTTACATTTTGCAGCACAAATCTTATACTATGCACACTTAGAAAAATTCACGTAAATTTAGGTGCTCTGAGAGTGACATATACGAGCGTCAATTTTGACATAAATTTTAGTCATAACAGACGTTAAATATAGCTTAATAAAACGTAATTTTCGTCGAGCAACGAACTTTTCAGTTTCGGAGCACTTAAAATTACATGACATGTTTGTTTACGTCTCATCTTTTATGTCAAAGATGAATTCCGTCACGTGTAAAATTAGTTATTTCTAAGTGTGTGTGTCATTTCCTCAAAACCCCCTAATAACCGACATCTTCAATCCCTTCCTTTTCCAATGCCGTTCAAGTGGTCCGCATAGACTGTTCAGCCATTACCCTTCCTTAATCATCGGCTTTAGATTGACTTGTGCTCCCATTGCCCCACCAAACGCTGCAAAATGAAAATGAAATGAAAGTAGGGGAAGTGGCTCTAATGTTAGCCTATGGATCTAAGACTCGGCCCATCGCTAAAAATCTACTATTTATCAATTTTATCTAGATGAACGCGTCATTGGGACGGTACTAATGGATACTTTTGGTAGCTATTGAAAGTTTAGTCGATTGCTGAATTTATGTATGGCCCCAAATTAAGGACATTACATCCATTTCCCCTATACAATGAATTAAAATAGTAAATACCGATAAATATCGATTTTTTTAAACCTTTGATACCAAAAAGCTTGCAAACAATCTGGCAATGCTGCTTCCTCTACACATCGTGGCGGATAACTTGGGCGAGTTTTCATTCTAGAGAAATTCTCGGAAAAAGTCATTGTTTACATTTGTGACATTGGCCCATATGAAATAACAGTTGAGAATTAGCCAATCCTGCATGTTCGATCGTGATCATCTTTTTTCTCTTCCACATCTTGTGTGAGGACGTAGTGTCGCGTGAAATACTCGTTGCTATTTTCGCATTTTTCGGATTAAATCCGTAACTTTGTAACCATGGCGGACACCACTGAAGCCGAGGGAGTTAAGAAGAAGCGTGCGTTCCGTAAATTCACCTACCGCGGGGTGGATTTGGACCAGCTGCTGGACATGAAGCAGGATTTGTTGATGGAGCTGATGCACAGCCGTGCCAAGCGGCGGCTGAACCGCGGCACTCGCCGTAAGCCGATGGCTCTCGTCAAGAAGCTCCGCAAGGCCAAGAAGAATGCTCCACCAAACGAGAAGCCAGCTATCGTCAAGACCCATCTGCGCAACATGATCATCGTCCCGGAGATGGTCGGATCGATCGTTGGTATTTACAACGGTAAGACCTTCAACCAGGTGGAAGTCAAGCCTGAAATGATCGGTCACTATCTTGGTGAGTTCTCGCTGACCTACAAACCCGTCAAGCACGGTAGGCCCGGTATTGGTGCCACCCACAGCTCCCGTTTCATTCCACTGAAGTAGGGCGGGCTGGATCAGTGTTTAATTATCTTATTTCTTGTAAGTAGATCGAAGCGAAGGTGATGAAAATACAAAAAAGGATTGTAAACGCACCATACTCGCGTGATCAAAATTCAAATAGCACATATTCAACCGAATCTACCACGCCAACCGAACAAAACATCACGCGCGATCGAGGTATAAAAAAAACTCAATAGCAGTCAAACAAAAGATAATGCAACACGAGAAACGAACTGTCCAACTGGGTTTCTTGCTCAGCTGGCACTTCTAAATAGTGTTGACTAAATTTACTTTGCAACATATTTGGTATTTCAAAAATCCAGTGAAACATCGGTAAAGTGATACACAGACGAAGGGCTAATCATTTAAGTCGTTGCTTATCATCAGACAGCACAAACCGTTTATTTCAGTCTAATGACCATGCATCATCATGAAGCATTTTCAGGTGACATCATAACTGGCAATTAATATTTTGCAAAAAATAATAATTTCCCTTTACATCATACGCTACATGTCATATGTTCCTGTGTCCTACATATTGTAGGAAGGTTTGCTTCCGCTGTCGTTCCTGTAGAGTGTAAGCACCTATAGTTAAAGTGAGGTAATAAACTGGTATTTCACATGTAACCTTCGAATGACATGCTACTAGTTAAACTGAGGCATAGCACAGGTGCGTACAATTCATGGGTTTTCCAAATGAGAGAGCATCAGCATTCGGAAATCAAATGTTGCATCTGGCATTGCATTTCACTGCATTTGGACAAATGTGCAAGTGATATGTCATTAGACACAATAAAGTTTCTTCTTTTTCAATTTGTCATAATGGATTATCACTTTCCATTCCACCCTGATCCCTCTCGATTATTACTCACTCAATGCTAATGGCTATTCAAATGAGTCGATTTGTAGATAGAAATGTAATGCCTTTCGTCATCTCTGATGTATCCGCAATTTAGTATGGCAATAGGGATGGAATTTATGATGGTAATTCAGACTAGTTTGGAATATTGTTTGGGATTGCATTAGGCGGCCGTGGTTTACCGATCCGCGTCTGTTGATAGTTGCAACCATTGCAATGCAGTTAAGTAAAGCCACCATAGCGTGAGAACAGATAGACCAATCGTTGATTTCAATATATATTGCTTATTGACAATGGTTTGTCATCTTCATCCTCTTACTGCATGAAATTTCAATCTGTACCTTCTACATGCCTGCTGTCACCCGCTGCATATTTGTAAAACAATAAATTCATAACTATCTTATCATTAAACATCTGTAGTTGGACTTCTCCGATTGTGCATAGTGTAACCCAGAATACTCAATGAGAAAGAAGCTTTTCAAAAATTTATAAACTCCACCTTCATTCAAACTGCAACTAACTACAGTAATTGGAAAATAATAATAACCCTATCTTGTGTTGCATCCTTTCTCCTCCACAGCACAACAGACGATGTTGAAAAATCACTGGAGCTGCTCGACAAGGTACTGTCCGAGTTTGAGGAAGAGCAGGAGGTAATACATGCCCCAGTGGAACCGGATAGTCCGTCTCAGGGCCACCAGTCCGAGGATGATGGTTACATGAGCATGAATGGCCGGAGGTAAGAATACATTCTTTCAGTTCATATATTCTCCGCTGCCACTTAAATCCGGTACGCTTAACGAGAGGTGGAATCATTTAAGCTAAAATCATTGAATGAAAAGTTTCTTCCATCCACCTGGTGAGCCACTCTGGTCTTGTCCTAGCCTAGTGGAACCTTTGTTGGCTTTCCTCTTACCTAAGGGCGCCTCGCTAGGAGTAATTATCCTCTTTTTTCCTAACGTCACTCTCGAGAGAAACATATTTACATTCGTAATTGTAATGTGAGGCGAATACCAAGTGCTTCCTTTTCACGAAACGTGCTCTCCACCATCACACAGCAGGAAGGGTATAGCCATAAATGTGTGAAAGCTCAGCGTGTTTTTGTTTTCTGCTTCTTAAGAGCACTTGTGTTTGCGAACACCGTAATGAGTCTAATGCTTGTGTGGATTCTTTTTTCGAGCGTATTTCATACGTTGGAAGCCGTTTCATTTTTGAACGGATTTGCGAACTTTTATATTTACACAGACACTAGAATAGGTAGTCGGTGTTAAATATCTTGATGATTTTTTGACTGAATATGTATCCTTTGAATACCTTGCGCTTCTTATCAAAGCCCTTAACAGCAACATCTGTTCCTATCGGCATAAGTTGAATTTATTGCAAGCAAAAAAAGCAATAGGGTGGATGAGTTATTAGTGGAAGAGCTAAGACGATTTATTTCCTTAAAAAAAAATTAACAAGCAATCAGTTTGCAAAGACTTCGGACATTTTCTTTTTAGTTCGTATTCCCGCCGCTTAGGTGGAACAAGATTTTTTATTTTAAGCAGAGCACCCTAGAAGAATGATTTCTTCGGCAAAGCGGTTTATTTTATAATACTAAGGAATTTTGAATTATGATCCTTATGTAAAATCGTGCACTGAATCCAAAAATGTAGTCAAAAAAAAATCTCAGTAGGATAGTTTTCTAGATAAAGCTTAAAACCGATACTGCACTTTAAAAAAGTTTGTTTTTTTAAATGTGGTTTGCGACATGCAGTCAATTTAACTGTTTGTAAGTAAGTTTGTACATACAGAGAGGTTAGCACATAAAATGGGTACGAGACGTGTGTGTGAGAAAATTTGCGAAAAAATCTATGGTCACCGGTGGGATTTGAACCCACAATTCCCATTCAGTACACGGATGCATTTCCAATTATGCAATGGTGTAACTATATGTGTAATAAAGTTATATAAATTATTTTAAGACCAAATTAAAAGTGAGAAAATTTGTTCTCGATCAACTGGATATTATTTTTCAGTTGGATTAGTAGTACTGTTGTAAATTAAAAGTTTGTTTTTTTTTCATATTGCCTAGAAAAATTTGATTTTAGCGTTTTTATGGAAGGTAAATATTTTTTTGTGGTGGGTGTGCCAACAAAACCACGAATTTAGCTTAAAAATGATGTTGAGTTGATCGAAATCAAATTTTCTTACCTTTAATTTGGCGTTAAAATAATTGATATAGCTTCATCACAACCGGCGATATTTTTATTTTAGTAAACAAACTTTTTTTTTGAGTGAAATTTAATGTTTAAGTTGTATCTAGAAAACTATCCTACTAAGATTTTTTTCTGACTACATTTTTGGATTCAACAAACGACTCATGAGAAATGACCACCAGCGTACAAAATTTAAATATGCTGTCAACAAGAAGCAAGATTTAAAAAAAAAAAGCTTCAAAAAAGGTATTTTCGTTAAGTATTATAGAAATGCTTGAACTCACCCAATTATAACAAATTTTGAGAAAGTCCATAAGGTACACCGGGAAATTTGAATTGAGTGGGTAAGTTTAATATAAGACGTATCTATTAGCGGTAGTGAATAATCACTGTGTTTATTTTTAATCCAGTAGATTGCAATAGCACGCAAACGCAATGCACCTCAACAATAAAGACAGTGAAAATTCACTTCCGCTTATTCACTCCCGATCATAAGGTTGGGGTCACCTTATGAAAAAACTTGAAAATGTATTTTTCTCATATATCTGCCATGTAACTTTATAGGTCATTTGAAAGATATTGGCTAAAATTTAGCTCGTAGGTAACTGGTTAAATACATTTTACAATTTTTGTTTACTAAAACTTCTCCAAAAGTTTCATCATTTTCCAAAACTCACACTGAATATTTTTTGGTTTAATGTTATTCTAACAAAGATACCATGTCCAAGGTTTTCAATAGCTCAAAATTATAAAAACCTTTATAAAAAATCCAAAATATTTACCAAAGACATTTTTTGTAATTTAAACTTTTAACACTTATTTTAATTTTTTTCCCAAAATTACTAAAAATTTAACCACGTATATTTTTTTGTAGAAAGTCTGTTTTTTTTCCCTACAACTTTGCCTCAGCCATCATTTCGATCGGTTTCGTTTTCATTCAACAATTTATTAAAAATGTCGATAACAGGGGAAATGGCTCTAATGTTGGCCTATGGATCTAAGATTGGGCCCATCGCTAAAAATCTGCTAAGGCTTTTACTCTAAAAAACTACAAGGGACAGCCCAATGGGGTTGTACGAACAGTTGACGTAGAACTACGCGCACATATGTCAACTATATTGAACGAACTTTATTTAAAATTCCCGATATTATTATGACATCCATGATTTTTTTTCCGAAGTGTAATAATTGGTCAGTGTCCATTTTCCGTTTAATACTAATTTTTTTTTTCAGTTAATGTGTAATTATTCTTGTGTTAGAAAATATTCCAAACTAACTCTTTCTTTGAAAGTTGTGGTGGCACTGAAAAGGGCCGTTTTGATGGTTTGTGGCTCTGAAAAGAGCCGTTTTGATGTTGCATGGCCCTCAAAAGGACCGTTTTGGTGATGTGGTTTTAAAATGAACGGTATGTAAGGTAACGTTGTTGTAAAAGGATACTGTGAACACTCAGTTCAAAAGGGAAGCATCCTACTGCCACTAATGTGTCGTCGGTGGCTATAAAATAAAGTAAATGATCAACCATATTCAAAACTTATTCAACAGCAAACAACAAGGTTAACAAGAGGCGATGGTACGAAAAGTACGTAATAAACCTTTTGGTTTGCAATTGCGGTATTTTCCTTGCAAACACCAAGTCGATGCATGTGCCACCCAATGTAGTCGGCAGCTTAAAGGGTGATACGGTCAAAATTTGGTCAAGGGAAAACGCGTGTAAATCGGTGAAAACGTTTATTTAAAAAATCAAATTAAATTTCTTTTTCAAGTTCAATTAGTATAAAATTCAGGAAAAATATTCAGTTAGGCTTCCGCTTTTCCAAATCCGAATTGCCGGGCCTTACGCTTGACCCCTGCCATCAGATTTTGTACAGCCACCTTGTCCACCTTCTTCGCCGCAGAAAGCCAGTTTGCCTTGAACTGCTGCTCGCCCTTAGCAGTTTTTTTGGTCTTCTTTAGGTTCCGCTTGACAATAGCCCAGTATTTCTCAATTGGGTGGAGCTTTGGCGTGTTGGGAGGGTTCTTGTCCTTGGGAACCACCTGCACGTTGTTGGCGGCGTACCACTCCATGGCCTTTTTACCGTAATGGCAAGATGCCAAATCCGGCCAAAACAGTACGGAACAACCGTGTTTCTTCAGGAAAGGCAGCAGACGTTTATTCAAACACTCTTTCACGTAAATTTCTTGGTTGACAGTCCCGGAAGCTATGAAAATGCTGCTTTTCAAGCCACAGGTACAGATGGCTTGCCAAACCAGATATTTCTTTGCGAACTTTGACAGTTTCATGTGCTTGAAAACATCTGCTACCTTTCCCCTTCCTTTTGCCGTATAAAACTCCTGTCCCGGAAGCTGCTTGTAGTCGGCTTTGACGTAGGTTTCGTCGTCCATTACCACGCAGTCAAACTTCGTCAGCATCGTCGTGTACAGCCTCCGGGATCGCGCTTTGGCCGTCGTATTTTGTTTATCATCGCGATTTGGAGTCACTACCTTCTTGTAAGTCGATAGTCCGGCTCGTTTTTTGGCTCGATGCACGGTTGTAGACAATACACCCAGCTTATTTGCGGCATCTCGGAGAGAGAGGTTAGGATTTCACTTGAAACTACCGGCAACTCTCTTTGTCGTCTCAGCGGCTTCCGGTTTTCGATTTCCCCCCGATCCAGACTTCCTGGCTGTCGACAAACGTTCCCCAAACACTTTAATTACATTTGTAACGGTTGATTTGGCAACTTTTAGCGATTTTGGCAACTTTGCGTGCGAGTAGCTTGGATTTTCGCGATGCGCGAGCAAAATTTTGATACGCTGCTCTTCTTGCTTGGACGGCATTTTGACAACTGAAGAGTGAATTCCAAAATCAAAATAGGAGCAACATTCTACACACACACACCTTCAAAATGAGGGGTGTTCAGGTTTTTTAAATGCAAAATTGAAAGAAATACGTCAAGTTGATATTGACCAAATTTTGACCTATCACCCTTTAGGGTCTGATACGAGATCGAGTTGGAGAAAATTCTTCATAAATTGGACGAATCCGATATTCTCAGCTTTCGAGACGTGTACGTTGAAATCCCCCGCAACGATGATTGGAACAGATTCCTGGTCATGAAGGTTTTGTCTTGCTTCATCGTAGTATTCGGTGACAGGTATACGCAGAATAGTATAATGTTGCAAGCTTCGACTTGGATATTTGCTGCGCAAATATCGCCATGCTTTTCAGACTATGAGGATGAGATCGTACTGTACACTCAATTTTTCAATTGTTGAAATCCCACGATCAATAAACTCAGCGAGAGCTATGGCGCCGAGCTTGGTCGCTCGGATGTATATGGTGCCATGTGTGCAGTGAAGATCTCCGTTGCCAGCGTTCGAGCGTTGTTAATTTGTATCTTTATTGAGCCAGGTATTAATCTGAACCATATTTTAACTATCTTCCTAACCTCATTTTTATATTTTGATTTTCTGTTCTATTTACTATTGTACAGATTTGACGTAGAAGCAGAAGCAATACTTTTGTGCGCGGAATCCGACAAAATATTACCTGGAGCCAATG